TAAATGAAGGCGTGTGTTATATATATGCTTGCAGGTGTATATGCAAGTATGTGCGTTGTATATATGCTTGCAGGTGTATATGCAGGTATGTGCGTTGTATATATGCTTGCAGATGTAATCGAAGGTAAGTGTGTTGCATGTATGCTTGCAGGTTTATGTGAATGTGTGTTGTATATATGCTTGTAGGTGTAAACGTGTTTCTTTTTGTAGCAGTTGTTTACACAAATGTGTGTGTTGGAACCTGGGAACTCACAAACACAGCCAAAAAAATAGGTTTAGTAAGAAATCAATCCAGGTCATACTGGAGTACGTCAGGGAGAGTTAGTATGGTTTTACGCCGCTTTTAGCAATATTCCAGCAATATCACGGCAGGGGACACCAGAAATGGGCTTCACACATTGTACCCATGTCGGGAATCGAACCCGGGTCTTCGGCGTGACGAGCGAACGCTTTAACCACTAGGCTACCCGACCGCCCCTTCGTCAGGGAGATAACGTGACCCGCTACCTGTTTCAGTGTTCCTAGAGGACCTCGCATCATTTGTGATGAGTTGTGTGTGAAATGTTACGAAAATGGCCATCTACCATTGATTACTACCGCTGATGACATTGTCTTGTTTGATGGGTATCCAAGCTCTTGGCAAAATTATCTAAACGCTTCACAGTCGAACCTCGCTTCTCCGGACACTTGCGTTTTCTCAAATAGTGTCCGGATAAACGTGTTTCCGCTTATCTGCATCCCTTGTTGACTAACCAGAATTACATGTCCTACCCAAATTCTACCGAGGCAAATGTGAAATAAATGACTGAAGTATGATTTATAAAAGATCGACCGATTAATAATGAAAATACATGTCGTATGGACCTACACTGCATGCAGTGACAATGCCATTAATTATTGAAACAAATGATGGTAGAAATGTATGTTTAGTCTACTGTATATAATACACTTATAAAATAATACACTTGTTTGCATACAGTTGTGGCGGAGGGGTTGAACAACCTGCCACACATAGACATGGATTATGGCCATGTTTAGTCCTATGGTATAAAGCTAATAAGGTTGATTATTACACTAAGTTGAATTCTTTCATGTGTGAAAAATGTAGCCTAGATTAATGTATCAACTGTTGGTAAATTAAAACAATGTGCGTTCCGATATGTGGGACCAGTTATTTGCAGTTCAGTATGAGTAGTTCAGTGTATAGCGAGAGGTACCCAGGGGTCTTGCACTGTTGTCATACCAGACACGAGGAACCGACGTGACATGAAATAAAAACATGACACATAATGAAAGTCACGGATGCTGTTCCTCACGCTGTTGAACAATATCACTTTGCCAAAGTTGGAGTTGAGCTTTTCCCCCAGACAACCTTTGAAAGACTTTGAAACCTCAGACAATCCAGACAGACTTTGAAACCTCAGACAATCCAGACAGACTTTGAAACCTCAGACAATCCAGACACACTTTGAAACCTCAGACAATCCAGACAGACTTTGAAACCTCAGACAATCCAGACAGACTTTGAAACCTCAGACAATCCAGACAGACTTTGAAACCTCAGACAATCCAGACAGACTTTGAAACCTCAGACAATCTTTGAAAGACTTTGGAACCTCAGACAATCCAGACAGACTTTGGAACCTCGGACAATCCAGACAGACTTTGAAACCTCAGACAATCCAGACAGACTTTGGAACCTCAGACAATCCAGACAGACTTTGAAACCTCAGACAATCCAGACAGACTTTGAAACCTCAGACAATCCAGACAGACTTTGAAACCTCAGACAATCCAGACAGACTTCGAAACCTCAGACAATCCAGACAGACTTTGAAACCTCAGACAATCCAGACAGACTTTGAAATCTCAGACAATCTTTGAAAGACTTTGGAACCTCAGACAATCCAGACAGACTTTGGAACCTCGGACAATCCAGACAGACTTTGGAACCTCGGACAATCCAGACAGACTTTGGAACCTCGGACAATCCGGACAGACTTTGAAACCTCAGACAATCCAGACAGACTTTGAAACCTCAGACAATCTTTGAAAGACTTTGAAACCTCGGACAATCCAGACAGACTTTGAAACCTCAGACAATCCAGACAGACTTTGAAACCTCAGACAATCCAGACAGACTTTGAAACCTCGGACAATCCAGAGACACTACAGATAACACAGACAGACTTTGACACTTCAGACAACCCAGACAGACTATGACACTTCAGACTACCCAGAAACATTGAACTCCGTACCAACAGCCACCTCGTGGGGTGGCATCATCAGCCGAAGAACGGAATCCGATCCCGACTGTTCTAGACTCACCTAGGTGGGGTGAGGTGAGGTGAGGTGAGGTGATGTGAAATGGGGTTTAACGTCGCGTTCAAGATCATTGCACTTATATAGCGACGTGCATGCACGTGTGTGTGTGTGTGTGTGTGGCTGCTTGTTCTCGTCCGAACTAATGCCGACTTTATAGTGCTAGCCCACTGAGATACCATGCCGCAGATTAACATGAATACCTTACTCAAACACAGTATACTGACTCCGAGCAGACTAGTCCTTGTTTTAGCCCCTTAATGCCGAGGGCCAGGCAGGGTAACAACAAGTACCATTTTTGACGTCGTCTGGTATGACGCAGCCGAGGATCGAACCCCGGACCTTCCGCTGTCCGGGTGGACGTTCTACCACTTGACCACTGGTGACTCCCCTAATGAACATGGAACAGTACACAGAGCAAGGCGAGTCTCAATGGACCTCGAAGCCCATCCCCAATTCCGAACACGTGTCTACTGAGAACTAGACAACAGGTTGATGAGACTGAACGACCATCTCGATTCCGGAAGTAAGACATCTCCGAGATGCGGCTGGTCACTTAATCAACTTTCTATGGTGAATAAGGGAAGACTGTCTTGACAATTCCAACTTGATTCAATGTAAACATATTGCCATCTTGAAAATTATTGCTATGTTTTCAGTGTTATATTATAAATATAATACATCCGTGACTTTCATTATGGGTCATGTTTTTATTTCATGTCACGTGTTTGCCATTGCGCCTAGATAACTTCCTTCAAAGTAAAGTTTATCTCATATCACAGGTGAAACATGTTCACTCGTGTATCACTTTCTGAGCACCAGACAGTATCATTTAACCATTTCGCTGCATTCACAATGGGCCTGGATATGATTGAATCATCCGTTGGTCCCATCTGTCAGTTGAATATATTTATTTCTAATTATTAGAATGTATGTCGTGTGACTTCGTAAGCCAATAAACTATTGAGGTGATATTTTGTTCACATTTATTAATGTATCACATCTATTCACATGTGACACATCCATAAACTATTTATTCTTCTCTTTTGCAATGATGTACATTCACAACGAATTACGACGACTAACTTCTTGCCCGTGCATTCATGAACAAATTAAAATTTCGTGAAGAAAATAAACAAAACTATAAAAAAAATAGACTCTCACTGACTCTTGATGAGCATATTTCGACATTTCCTGGTTGTAATAGGGCACATGGTTGAATTGGGCATTGTACAACTTACCTGTTAGAATATTGGAATAATTTACCATTTAATGACAATTATTTTTATATAAACTGTTACTTATTTCATACTTAAAAGGACAGTGTATTAAAACATTGCATTGGTGTAACAATAGTCCCTCACGTTTTTTTCATTATTTGTTTGTTATTTAACGCCGTACTCAGAACTATTCCAGCTATATGATTTCGGTCTGTAAATAATCAATTCTGGGTCAGACAACCCATCGTGATCTACACAATTGGGATACGATAACATGCATCAACCAAGGCAGTGAGCCTGACCATCCGATCCCGTTAATCACGACAAGCATTGGTTACTTAAGATCAATTCTACCCCGGATCTTAAACAACAAACAAACAAACAAACAAAAAAACCAACAGCCTTGTGTAGTCCGATTCTGTATGACCTGTAAACACTGATTGGTCATTTGGTCACAAATGAGCAGTCATGATGAGTGAGCAACATGTTCGTTTTCAGCTATTCGTTTTTTGAACCACTTAAATTAGCCAAAACAATCGTGAAATCTGCTGATGTTTTTTTTTGGTTATTAAAAACTACTGAAGACCTGAACATATGTTACACAACCTGATCTCATATACATGTACAGGCATACATTTGAATGATGTGTCAGACTATTTATGGTGGTTCCGTCTATGAATAACGAATCCGCAGCTGTTGCATGTGAAAGTACAGTTTGCTCCGCCAAATATAGGGGACTTTATAACTGAAGCATATATGTGTCATGTTCTTATATACACGTTCCGTATAACACTCAATTAGACGTTCAAGCCAAATATATAATTTAACAATTTCACATATATTTGAACACATATCACCACTTCGTTGTCTTTTTTTCAATTTAAATAAAGCAATACCCCCACCCACCCACACAGCTATTAAACGACAGTCCCTAAATATTGTTCAAATGTATAAAAGAAATATATAAAAAAACCATTTCGTATTTTCATATCCACCACCCCCTCCCCCCACCACCAAATCTCTGCTAAGTCCATTGTACAATTCCGATGATATCCGTGTTTATGTATCTCTGAGAAGTGCGCGTACCCTGCCTCGCAACACCCACAAACACACGCTCGACCATTTTGTCTGCTGACTGAACATCTATGCTGTATATCATCCATGCATGAATACCCTATCTGCATTATCACAATGTCCTGGTTTAAGTGACAGTTTCGAGCGTACCAACCCTTTAAAGCCCAAGGGACGTGATGTTAATCTCCCGGTTTCTATTACCGTAAATGCCTAGAGGTCAAACGAATTATATTATATCTCTCAATGACTAAACTGACAGTGTCAAACAATCGGTGAATCAAATGTGATATTTAAATACAGAACCGACCTAGACACAGTGGAATATTGCTCCTACCGTGACTATACCACGATACATGTACGAATAATAAACTGTACAAATCTTACCTGTTGATAAACGATAAGACAAGCAGACAGGAACATAGCACTCCGAATATCGTAACAAATATGAAGATAAGTTTCGTCTTCATTGTTTTGATTGACTTGGTGAGTCTGTGTCAAAGGTAAAGGTTGGGGTCCTATCTAGCAAAATCCACAGACCGTCTGCCGCCACGGAAGTCGAAATCGTGAACGCCTGCTTCCCGACTGCTGTCTGCGCGATGAATACAACCATTTAAATAGTGTAATGTTAACAGGAAGGACATACAGACAATTTGAACATCTGCGTTCACAAATGTGAATGTGCCCTCTCTTGCACATGAATTGTACAATCCGTTACCGACGTCAACATGGGAACATCTGGTTTGTTGCCAGTTGAACATGGGAAACATGGGCACCTCGTCGATCGATAACGCGGATGTAGGACAAGAGGAGGCTTGGTATCGATTGAGGGCATTGCTGCTTCGTCTATGAGACATGTAGCGAGACTGTTGTGATTCGAATACTCACTTCTCAGGGATGTGTTAGCAAAGATGTTCGTATATGTTATGAAGGACTAAAAGCTCGTAAATGTAGGACCCGTGAAGATCAGGGAAAGAATAGGTCTTCAGCAACCCATGCTTGCCGTCAAAGGCGACTATGCTTGTCGTAAAAGGCGACTAACGGGATCGGGTCGTCAGGCTCGCTGACTTGGTTGATGCATGTCATCGATCCCAATTGCGTGGATCGATGCTTATGATATCAAACACTGGATTGTCTGGTCCAGACTCGATTATTTACAGACCGCTGGAATATTGCTGAGGACGTAAAACAACAAACCAACCAACCAAATCGTAAATGTAGCTTTCTCCCTATACACACAAACAAAAGAGGTGTTCCAGATTATCGACTGAAACCACATCCCGCCTCTTTGACGGATCAATTTGACGATCATAATGATGTATGTTGTGTCATGGAGGATAAATCTGAGGGAGAGGGTTCCACTAATTGCCGTACCACAGGAAGAGACCTGTAGACGTGAGCGCGGGGTTGTGTATAAGATGGCCGTTGCATAATGGCCGCCAGGAGAGGTAACAATTGAGCTTTGACTATGTCAGTAAAAAGGTTTATGAAGTAGTGCTGTTTTCATAGGTCTGTTGAATATACTCCAAGCGCTACTGTCAATATATCTTTTACTCGATCCTTGAAAACATCATTGTGGCATTTACAATATATATTCTTTCCAACGTACATTGATTGTGTGTTTTCGAGTATTTGGCAATTGTGTTAAACTAGCATAATTGTAATTTGTGGTGACACGTAAACATAAAACGTCTCATGTAAAGTATGTAGTTAGTAAGATGATAAATAATGATATTCAAATCGCGTTATAATTAAGGCGAATACGATTTATATCACGAATATAGGGTAACGGATACGAATATTAATTCACAATTACAATAACAAGTCAGCAGTTAATGTATCAAATTTATATACTGCACTTATCCAGGTACTAGTATCTGCTTAAATGCGACAATGACCAGTGAAAACAATACAATTAAATATTATTAGAGTGTTGTCATTGAAAGAAATCTATGCATATAATATGTTGTTATGGATATTTTTAGGTACAGGGTATGTAAATATACATGATAGCATATTCATAAATATTCGATTCTAGTGGCCATGAATAACGAATTCAATTCGTTGAATTGTTACGGTTCGAATCGTAACAGCCCAAATGTGAATATATAGTGATGTCACAAAAGGGTTGTAAATGATACGCATACATGGCTATACATATATTGGCTAAAATAGTATACACATCTGCCTACTCAGGACCCACTTAGAGCCTATGGACAAATACGAAAGGGTCAACAAAGGGTTACCCAGTCAGGACCCATTTCCCAGCCCACGTCATATTAAAGCTGGCCTTACATGTACGACAGTTCTAAGTAGTACGTGTGCCCATGTAAAACTATTGAGTAATTATAAGTAATGTAAACGCGGCTTTGGACTACAAAAGGTTTGATTTTAGAGGTTTACAGGAACAGTATTTCTAATTGTTAAACATGAACAAAGCTACTTTTCTTGAACAATTTGTGAAAGACAAAACAAACTTATGGTAAAATATTCATGTTGGTTCACGGACTTCCTTATGTTTATAGAGTTGCGTCCCTTAGACACGCCAGAAACCTATGATTGTTGGTTCGAACCCCGGTTCGCCCCGATTTAGTTTCTAGGTTTGTCAGCACCATATCCGGCACCATACCCAGCGCCGCAATTCGCTGTGCAGAGTTGCGTCCCTTAGACACATGCCAGCAACCTGTGTTTGTGGGTTCAAATCCCGGTTGACCCAGATTATATTTCCAGGTTTGTCAGCACCATACCCGTGCTCGTGGGTTTCACCGAAGTGGTAAAAGACCTGCATCACTTCGGGCTTTCCTCCCACATTAAGCTGACACGCCCCGATATAACTGGAATACTGTTAAAAGCGGCGTTAAACCCAACTCACTCACTCACTTTAAGCAACGTGTTTGATTTAAATACAACGATCTGTGACACTATTAAGCGGCATTTAGGTAGGTGGAATATTTTAACAATATCTTTACACTTTCAGTGATACGTATGTGATGTTTTAGTTGGTTTTGACCAAGCCCAACCAAACGCTTCTGATAGAGATCGTCACGATATGGCTGAAATATTGCCCATGTGACGTTAAATAATAACTCACTCACTCACTCACTCTGATAGAGAAGAAAAGTGGCTCTACTGTAGGGGATATTTATTGTACCATGTGATGTGACACTATAATGTGGTAGGTATGTACATATGTTTTATCAATCTAAACGCATTTCCACGTACACCTGCGATGTTTTAGTGTGTTTTGCTTTGCTGGGTCAATCCTGTACAAACGTATTTCTGATTATAGGGTGTTGAGTGTATACTGAATAATAGAGAATAATAGGTGAGGTGAGATGAAATTGGGTTTAACGTCGCGTCCAAGATTATTGCACTTAAATAGCGACGTGCATGCACGTGTGTGTGTGTGTGTCTGCTTGTACTAGTCCGGACTGATGCCGATTTATAGTGCTAGCTCACTGAGATACCATGCCGCAGTTTAACATGAATACCCCACTCAGACACAGTATACTGACTCCGAGCCGACCAGTCCTTGTTTTAGCCCCTTAATGTCGAGCGCCAGACAGGGTAACAAAGAGAATAATAGAGAGTCCCGGATAAAATACTGCCGTTAGTATTCCAGTCGTTTAAGTATCAATCTAACATATTACGCCATTTTAGTTATGGAAGTCGTGGATGCTTATTAAACATTATGTTTCACGTGTATAACGTTTTCTGTATCAAGTGACTTGGTGGTGAACGTGTTCTATAATCTGCACTTATATTTTTGTCATGTTATTCGTCTCATTGTTTGTATTTTCACAGGAAACATTTCATGTTTCAATATAATGAGTAGCATAGCATCGGCAGCTAAATGTATGTATTCAAAGATAACCAGTCTGTGACCGTATATGTCTGGAATACAATACACGAAAAGTAAAACTGTTTCTGTAGCTAACTACGCACAGACTCGGCAATGTCTTTTAACTATTTATCAGATAAGTGCATCCACACTATCGTGAAGCGCCGGTAGATTTTGTGTTTCATTTTGTAGAATAGTCTATAAAGATACAGGCATTTCAGTGGCAGTCTCGTATATAAGAGTTACAATATGATATCAAGCATTTCTTATATAAACTCTTTCTCGTGTTATAAGTTATTTACTTATAATTGGTAAATGTCAGAAGTTTTTGATCAGTGTTAAAATGTTTAATCATCATTATCTTGAAGTAAGTATCGGCAGTTGCCTCATTATAGTAAAGGCTACGGTTCGACGCACGCTCGGCCGTCAGCCATTTTTCACGTGGTGCACGTACCGTGACGCCCGGCTTAAGCCCCAGGTATCTGTACCGCAGTTACCCTGGTTACAGCAACTATGTTATCATTGTTATATTTTCAACAAGGCACCAGTAATGTACTTTTCTTATTTATCAATTAAATTCAATTTTGAGTTAATTAAGTTTAAGAATATTCGGAATGAATTATTAAGTGAAAGTATTTTACTATACTGTAATGAAGAGTTTGTACAAGAAGAGTATTGTGAGATCATCCTTATGTCCATATTGTAACTGGATTTATGAATGATGTGCGCTATGAACATGATCGACATTCACTGCACAATGTTGTAGGTGACCATGGCGCTTATACTATGGTACCTTAATGAGTCCACTGTAAAATAACTCATTATCATTTCTTAACTATTAATTTCAATATATAAATGCTTTACTAGTTAATTGCTCATTATGATGTCTTAACTATGAAATGGAATACTGAGATGCTGTTGAATGTTTGTTTGTTGCCTTTAGATATCAAATATAATAAAGATTCCTGCATTTCGCCTGAAAACCTCTCTGTCAGTTTTTGAAGGCGTGGAGATCCCGGAGTCAATTTCCCGCAACAATTCTAGGCATAAACGGTCCCTTAAAACGGACTGTTTCAATATCATCATCTATATGTCCAACTATATAATTTTATAACACCGATTGGTGGAGTATTTGATTTGATTTGCTAGCATGTGACCATGGTTCGTGGGGGGCACGGGTGACCCAGTCGTCTAGGGCGCCGCGATTCGCTTTGCAGAGTTGCGTCCCTTTTGGCACGCCAGAAACCTTTGATTGTGGGCTCGAATCCCGGTTGACCCTGATTATGTTTCTAGGTTTGTCAGCACCATACCCGTGCTCGTGGGTTTCACCTTAGTGGTAAACGTCTGAGACCTGCATCACTTCTGGCTTTCCTCCCACATTAAGCTGACACGCCGTGATATGACTGGAATACTGTTAAAAGCGGCGTTAAACCCAACTCACTCACCCTCACCATTGTTCGTGCGTCCTCAGATCTCTGACGCCATGTCAAATCGAAGTGAACAAGGAAGAATCGTGTGTCCCTGCACTGCACTAAGTATCGCATTGATCGGTTGACCCGTGATGCGGAAACAGGTCGATGCAGCTATAAATGATCTGACTCACTGTTCCGGTGTCACGAAATATATTCGCCCCCAGAATAAAGTCTCCCCCCCGGCGAATTTATACCGGTACAGTTCCGCCCCACTCGAAATAAACTCTCCCCCACCCTACGAAATAAAATCTCCCCCCAGAATATTTCCTCCCCCGGTCGTTTTATAAATACTTGCCATGCAGTTCAATAGTTGATGTTATTTTGGGTTAGGTAATGTTGTAATCTATTTTTAGCCATTGATTCCATTACTTTGCATAAGTTTGAAGTTGAGATATTGGTCGATATGAGTTAGCTTGATTAGCTGGTTTATTAGGTTTAGGGATTGGTATGACAAGGGCCTGTTTCCAGGGAGT